GACTTCAATTGACGTGAATCTTACATTAGCAAAGAACAAAGGCCAAAGCATATCACAATTAGATTATGCTCGTGTGTTGGGTTGCTTAATGTACATCATGAATTGTACACGACCAGATATAGCTTGTGCTATAAGTAAATTGAGTCGATATACGAGCAATCCATGTCAATCTCATTGGATGGCCATGAAACGAGTTTTGGGGTATTTAGTACATACCCAGGACTAGGGGTGTTCATAAAAACCCGAAAAACCGAACCAAACAGAAAACCGAACCAAACCGACCAAAAAAATCGATACTTTTTGGTTTGGTTTGGTTTTGGTTTTAAATTTTAAAAACCGATCAAATTTTGTTTGGTTTTGGTTTTAATCAGAAAAAAAAATCGAACCAAACCGGCTATAGAAGTAGCTATTTCAAATTTATTATTACACCTATATATATGTATATTTTTATACAATGTTTCAAAATTTTAATGGTAAATGTTAATAGTTTGCACTTTTAGTATAGTTCTTTACCTTTACAATCTAGTTTGATTGGTAGTTTTCTTTTGTTAAGTGTAAGAATCCATTTCGTGTTAAATATAATATATTTTTAATTGAGTCCTTAAATTATTCATCACTATTTGATTCAATTATCATCGATATATCTTGGTAAATAATAGATTTCTCAAAGGGCAATTAATTTGATAGTGTTACGTTAAAAATGTGGTCGCCAGAATATGTGTTTGGTAGTGTGTGTCTTATATTTAAGAAAAAACTGACAAATAACCGAAAAAACCGAAAAATCGACAAAACCCCACATAAACCGAATCGAGAAAAAACCGACTTAATTGGTTTGGTTTGGTTCTAATATTTGAAAAACCGACTTACTTGATTTTGTTTCTTTTTAGAGAAAAACCGAGCCAACCCGAACCATGAACACCCCTACCCAGGACTTTGCTTTGCACCACAGTAAATATCCTGCGGTCATTGAGGGATACTGTGATGCAAATTGGATCACCGGATCAACTGATTCCAAGTCCACAAGTGGATATATATTCACTATTGGTGGAGGAGCGGTATCTTGGAAGTCGTCCAAACAAACTTGTATTGCCCGCTCGACAATGGAGGCTGAATTCATAGCTTTAGATAAAGCCGGTGAAGAAGCTGAATGGCTCCGGAATTTCTTGGAAGATATTCCATTTTGGCCCAAACCGTTGGCACCAATATGCATACATTGCGATAGTCAAGCGGCAATTGGAAGGCTGGGAGCGCTATGTATAACGGTAAATCTCGTCATATACGACGAAGACATAAAACCGTTAGGCAATTACTCTCTAGAGGAATTATCACGATTGATTATGTAAAGTCAAGTGATAATGTGTCGGATCCACTTACAAAAGGCCTAACTAGAGAGGTAGTTGAGAAATCAGCAAGGGGAATGAGACTATGGCCAAGAACAAGTCATAGTGGCGGTAACTCTAACATAGAAGACTGGAGATCTCAAGATCTAGGTTCAAGGAGATCAAACAAAGTCATTAATGACGGTTCAACATTGTCAACTAAACTTTTGGTCCATTCTCGTGATGAGACAATGTTCAGTACCAAGGATAAAGCATTAAGGCTTTTTAATGATTTCTAAATTTGATACGGGGTATATCAAATAGTGTATCTACGAGATGACACGTTTAGGAATCACCTATGTAAGTGTGAAGTGTTAGCCGCTTCAAGGAGAACTTTGGAAGGCCAGTTCTCTACGCACTTATGAAACCAGGCGGTGTTCATGGCTGAAACGAACACAACAATGAGAACCAAAGACGGTTAAGGGTTGGTTGTGTGACTTGTGGTTGTCTAGGTATACACTAAAGTTCGACGGTTCGAAGATATCAAATCTACCGATTGATCGAGTATATCCGACATAAGTTCACTACGGAAAGTTCAAAGGGAAACCTACTTATCCGGATGCAATTAATCCTTGCTTGCGAATCACACAGTTTTTCATGCATGTTTCCGTGATATAGCCATTCCCCATTCATGTGGGGATTGTTGGGTTTTATGCATTTAATTATATTAAATACTTAAAAGAGGGTGAATGGGAAATGGAGGGAAATAAAATTGTTGAGTGAAATTTTAAATTTCCCCCCTTGGGTATATAAGCAATTGCTCTTCTTCTAGCTCATAAAGAGTTGAGAAGAAGGCAAGCCTCGCGTCGTCGTCGTCGTCGCTCGCTCGCTCGCTCGGCTCGGCTCGGCTCGGCTTCGGCTTCGGCTTCGGATTCAAGCCTCGCGCCGTCGTCGTCGTCGTCGCTCGCTCGGCTCGGCCCGGCTCGGCTCAGCTTCGGATTCGGATTCGGATTCGGATTCGGATTTGGTCAAATGATCGATCGATTGATTAAATATTAGTTTTAATAACAGAATATTAATATTAATATTAAATCCAATTCAGTTATCCAAATTTCAGTTTTCTATTTTTGTAACAGAAAATTATCTACCCTTCAATTTTCCCTCTTTATTGTTGAGTAAATAGCCATTTATGTTACGCCATTTATGTTGTGGCCGTTTTGCATAAACAGCCATTCTGAAGAGTTGCACCTCTTCAGATTCCAGCCCAACTTTGGCTATAAATACAAGGTTATTCTGCTCGGAATTTCCATACGATTTTCTGAGTTTCTCCTCCTTCTTCTGCATACTTTTAACATCAAACAAAGCAGCAGTAAGTGTGATTTGCTACCGAACTTTGTGTTCGCTGAAACAGTGGGGTTTGAAGTACCACTACACCAGTGTGTAATTCGTTCTATCCTGGGAGGAAATAATCCATAACCTTGGGTATTAGGTGGGGATTAAATTCCTTAAGGAAACACTGTGAATTTAGTGGGCTCGAATTGGTTTTTGTTATTTCGTTTACATTTCTGTTTATGTTCATTTATATTTTCCTGAATTATTTTACAAATACATATTACTAACAAAAACTTCTCTTTATTGCACCCATAAAAATCCATCTAAACCGCAAGAACAAAAGGGGGAAAAAGTTTTTTTTAATCAATTCCCTCCCTTTCCTGAATCTACTGACATATTAGACGTAATATCAAGAATTCAATAATGGAGTGGCGTCCGTTTGATGTCACTGTGATCTCCGCCGCAGGCATAAAAATGTCAATTACTTCTCCAAAATGGATGTTTACGTCGAAGTTTCAATCGTGGGTTATGCCAAGAACACAAAGATTCACGAAAGAGTTGAGGGTTTTTGCTCGACGGCGGATTCGCCGGAAATTAGGGTTTGTCCTTGAACAAAGACGACGGAGTTTGGGGCTGAGCAACTTGATTTTCTGTTAATATATTTTAATGTTTTTTCAACGTATCACGCTGTATTTTCATGTATTTCATTGTATTCATTGTCTTTTTTTCCATTGTAATTCAATGTATCTCGTTGTATTCCATGTATTTCATTGTATTCACTGTCTCGCTATATGCCATGAATGTACTCATATATTTTTTTTAATTAATATAATTTATGTATTCGGATGTATTATATAATTTCTCTGAAGATTGTTATATTTTTGGGGTATTTTTCGGTTGAGAATCTTTTTTATAACTGAAAATACAAAATTTGTGTGTTATAATTGAGTTTGTTGAGTTATATTAGGAGTCTATTATGTTAATTGATTAACTTTCCGTTTTAAAAACAATGTAATCCCCTATTTCACGCCGTGAATACAATCGTATACAGTCGAATACAATAATCTGTCCAGCTGTAATCCCGTGTTTCACTCCATGAATACAGTCGAATACACTCGAATACAACAACTGATTAGTTGGACTTCCCTGATTCACGCCTATTTTTACTACTGTATTCATGAATACAATAGCTTAAATATATCAAATACATCTTATAACCACAGAAAAGGTATCTACAATCCGTAATATAGCAAATGATATCTATAGATGACTAATTACTACTAAAAGATGGTGCTTTATGAAAATTTCCCTATATAATAAGGGATTTCAGATATAGCATAAGTGATTATATTTATTTTTAAAGGCGGTCATATTATTTTATTTTTCTTAGTTAAGAAAATTTACAACAAAAAAAAGTTGTTCATAAGCATTATATCACGGGAGACTTCATATTACATGAAGTGGATGAGCTCCATAAACCTTTCAAATATTAGTAGCAGAATAGGAGATTTCAGGTGAAAATAACACGGGCTAGCCAATTTTCGGACTGGTAATCGAAAAATAGCCAGCGTTTGTAGAGTCATTAAAAAATAACCACTGCTTTGCTGAAACACGGAAAGTTCCAGCATAATATGCGGGATTATGGAGTTACTGTGTATAAAGTTCCAGCATAGTATGTTGGAACTCCAGCACACGACATGCTGGATTGTGGAGCTTCTATATATAAACTTCCCGCATATTATGTTGGAACTCCGTACGTAATGAAATTCCAGCACATTATGCTGAAAGCTCATATGTATAAAATTCGAACTCCAGCATATTATGCTGGAATATTTTCGAATTTTTAAGGGTGTTTTTGTTCAGATTTTATCTTTACGTGAAAAAGTGTCTAAATTTCGATTACTTTTGAAACTGTGACTATTTTTTAATTACCAGTTGTAAATTTGGTTTTTTTATTTATTTGTTTTTTCCCCAGATTTCAATCTTCAAATTTAAGCTTAAGTTTTTTTTGCTAATAATTTAAACTTAAGTTGATCAATGGCCTCGTTAGCTCCATCCTCCGAGATTTTTCATCTATTTTCTATATTTTTCTTCCTAAAAAGACCCCGAAAAATATAAAATCTCCTCAATAAAAAAGAAAAAAAACGCATTTCGTAAACCTTGATGCTCAAACTTGATGGCTTAAATTGAATTGCTTGGATTGACCTATGCTTTTTCATTTTTATCATCAACTTTTTATTGTAGATGAAAAAAATTTATAAATTATTATAAGAACGGGAAAGGGGTTAAAATTATTTTAAAATGCTAAAATTCCTCTTTAACTAATTTCCTCTCCATACGTATAAATTGCATATTTTGGGAATTGTTTTTCTAAAATAAAACTCTATCTTCTCCCCCCTCATTCCCTCATCATCTTCAAAAACCTCCACAAAACCTTATCAAATAAAGCCACCGGCGATGGCGACGATTGCAGCCGCCGTAGCGGCGGCTTCCTCCGCCTTCACCTCCCTCCACCTCACTCGCGCAACTCCCTACACGCGCCGCCACATTCACACTCTCATCACATCCTCACTCTCCTCTTCCTCCTCAACTGAATTCAACATCACCTTCGCTCCTCCAAAACCAAAACCTAATAAACCAGAACCCTCACTTCCCATAAACCCTAATTCCAGCTCGGACATCGCCGAACTCGGTGATCAACTCTATATTCCCTGGATTGTTCGTGATGAAAAAGGTAACCTCACTCTCCAATCGACTCCTCCGGCGCGTCTACTCCACGACATGGCTAATGCTAGCACAAGTAAGAAGAATAATAAGAAGAGCAAGCAGATTGCTGCTAAAGCCGCGACGGTGGGTCCTACATCTGAGCCTAAGTATTCAAAAGCGGCTCGCCGGTTTTATAATGAGAACTTTAGAGACCCTCCTCAACGCCTCAGTAAAGTCCTTGCTGCTTCCGGAGGTAACTTTAGCATCTCTAGTTGTACCCTTTTCACCATTGTGCAAAATTAGAAACATTGTTGTAAATAGGGGTGGCAAAATGGTTAAAAGAAAACAGTTAACCACCCATATTATCCAGTAGAAAATGGGTTGGATAATGAACTTTTTAAAAACGGGTCAAATATGGATAAGAACCATATTATTCATTTAGAAAACGGTAACCCACGGGTAACCAATGAGTCTAACTTTTATATTTGTAAAGCCTTAACTTGGGGTTCCTCAAGTTAGGGAGACTAAGAATTCTATCAAAAGTGATCATACGTAATAAGTCGTGGATAACCCATATTATCCGCCGGTTAACCCGTTCTTTATCCGTTTTAAATATGGGCCGGGTCGGATAATTTATCCGTTTTTTCATTGCCCGCATTCGACCCAAACCATAACCGCCCCGCCCCGCCCGTTTGCCACTCCTAGTTGTAAAGTAAGGGAAGAATATTGATATTTATTTATGAGCAGATATCCGTGGAGCTAGCTTGAGTGCTACTGTTTCATAACCTCCCATGCATGAAGATATTTGTCTAATCTTTTGAAATATTGCTAACAACAATAACAACAACTATGCCTCAATTAGGAATCTACTTGGGTTGTCTAGATAAATCCTTTATATTGATTCAGCTATGTTGGGACCCGTTTCATTACAATACTCATTAAATAAACCGTGAATTAAAAAAATACTCCATCCGTACCATTTTATGTGATATACTTCCCCTTTAGTCTATCCCAAAAAGAATTCCACATTTCTATACTTAGAAACAACTTTACTTTTAAGTTTTCATTTTAGCCTTAATGGGATGATTTATAATCTGAGATGTGTATGATTACTTTTTGACCTCAAGTTTCAAAAGTTTTTCTTTCTTAAATTTCGTGGCCCCATGTGGCAGAGGGAGTATATATATTGAGAGACTATAGACATAGAGTCTCTATTCCAAACTAGCTGGGGGAAGCCTTCAATATGTTCTGCTCCATTTGGGCCCCTTTTAGTTCAATACTCATTAGATGAGAGGAGACTAAAAGAATTGAGAGAAGAGATGAAAAAGATTTGCACTTTTCTAATTGCTGATGACATAGATTGTGTTATGCGATATCTTAAAGAGAATTGAAGTGACATCATCAATTTCTTAAGTTGTAAGTAATAGATAGTTGCTCATGCCATAGACTGTGTTTGGGGGGGGGGGGGTGTTATCTGACAAGTTGCTTACCGTGATCACTGACTCGGTTATCAACAAAAAAAAGTATTTGTTGTGGTGGCAATGATATTTAGAACTCAGTTGGAAGTTAGTTGTGCTAGAAAACAGAATATATTTTGTTTATGGGCTTGCTCTGTTGTTTATGTATGAACTAATAATGAGATGTAAAATGGTGAGCATCAGCGTATCAAGAGCAATGACAGCGCTGATAGATTATCTGAAATTGAGGTTTTGTTTTATAGTGGCATCCAGACGGAGCAGTGAAGAGCTGATTTTTCAAGGTCGGGTTACCGTGAATGGTTCTGTTTGCAAAACTCCACAGGTCAAGTTCAGAAATGCTCCCATGCTGCAAAATTTTTTAGGGTTCGACTCCGGTGCATGTTTTTTTTTGTTTGGTTATATTGTTGACATCTATTCTGCTTGTTGGCAGACTAAAGTAGATCCAGCTAGAGATGTAATTTATGTCAACGGAAATCGTCTTCCGAAGAAATTGCCTTCAAAGATCTATCTTGCACTAAACAAGCCAAAAGGGTGTGTCTATCCTTCTCTTTTTATCATTAACACTGGAGGAGCTTTGGATTTTGATTGTTATGTCTGTGAGTCGAGTTGATTCAAGTTTAACAAAATACAGGTACATATGCTCATCCGGGGAGAAAGAAACTAAGTCAGTCATGTCCCTTTTTGATGATTTTATAAAGAGTTGGGTATGTTTTCTTCTGCTTGTATGGGTCTTTTGGAAATGTTTTGTTCTTTTAATAAAACTGTGTCCTGGGAAGGATGAGCTATTTTGTAGTGCTAATTATACTAGGATTTATGTTATCCACAGTGTCAGTTCTAGAAGTTGCACCCAATAAGAAAAGCTGTTACTTCTGAAGCATTGCCTGTACTAACTCATGACTTTTTATATCTGCTGTATCTTCTTATTAAAGGATAAAAGGCATCCTGGACAACCAAAACCTCGGCTCTTTACAGTAGGCCGACTTGATGTTGCCACGACTGGCTTGATTATTGTGACTAATGATGGTATAGATGACATTTTCTTTTATAATTCCTCAGCACATGTTATTTGTGACCTCACCGAGTCTTATAAAAAAAGATAAACCTCATAAGGTTCATTTCAAATGCCGCCTGCACAGTAATCTGGTTTATGCTGCTCTTGCAGGGGAGTTCGCGCACCAGATTTCACATCCTTCGTCTAATTTGTCAAAGGAGTATGTTTTTTATTATGTTATCCCTATTTATATGCCTTGATTTATTTTTATTTTTTTTGGGGTGGGGGGGTCGGGGGGGGGGGGGGGTTTGGGGGAATACACAATTATCTGTACACTATGAAAGTTTTGCGACTTTTACTGAACTTATTTTCTGCTATTAGCTGATCTCTTTTCTTCTTCTTTAAAACTCGTGTATTGTTGAATGTTTAAGCAAACCAGTTTATCTTTCTGTTATGATCATCACTTACCAGATGATCTTGTTCTAGATACATTGCAACTATTGATGGTGAAATACATAAGCGACACTTGATAGCCATTAGTGAGGGAACAGTCATTGATGGTGTCCATTGCACCCCAGATGCTGTGGAACTACTACCACGACAACCTGATGTACCAAGACCTCGTCTGCGTATTGTGGTACTGTTCACTGCTCAGTCACTTATCTTTGTTTGTCTATTAGAAGAGACAGCTAGCTCCATAATCCTGAACTAGTTGGTATAGGCTATTCTGTCAAAAAAAAATTCTGTACTTCTTTTGCTACACATTTTTTTGTTAAGTAGGATCATAGAGCAAATGAGCAGAAAATAAGAATTGATTTTGTGGAAGGATAGCAAAAGGAATAGCACATTCAATTTCTTCTCGCTATAGTCTATGAATTGATTTTGTCAACTCTGATTTTAGTTGCTTTTTAAGTGGGTTCTGATGAACTGTTAGATTAACTGACATTCACTTCCTATCATAATAAACAATGGTCTACAAGAAAGTAAGTTCCACAAGATAGGCCAGTCTAGCCTGAGCAGATGCAAAGCTAAGCAACCAAGGGCTAAGGTCAGACCAGCCCAGGTTTCTCTTTTGATAATTTTTTTTTCCGGATAAGGAGGTTCTCTTACACGGATACACCTGTTAGATAGACCTTGTAAATCCTAGTTTCCCCAATCTGCTGTATACTATTAGCAATGCTGTTTTGATCCACACGAGAAATAGTACTCAGTGGACCTAAATTTCTTCTTTTCCTTATGATATAGGTTCATGAAGGACGGAATCATGAAGTTCGTGAGCTTGTGAAAAATGCTGGACTTCAGGTATTTTGGTTATGTCGAGTTTATTTGTCCAACTTACCATATAACAGATTAGATCTTAGTGAGAGCTAAAGAAAGTGATGGGTTTATGCGAAATAACATTACATCTGAAAACATAGAGTTCATATCAACATAATGCGGTGTAGCTATTAGACATGCTCAACCTTTGATTGTTGGAAGCTTACTTGCTCACTTGTTTTACTTTCACTTCCGGAAAGATCCCTGGATGTATTATTACGGGTCAGCTTCATTCGTCATTCTGTCCAGCCCTGTTGCTTTCAATGTTGTGCTAGATCCATCGTTGCTACTTTGCCATGTTATTCATTAATAACTTTTCAGTTTTTCCTTTTAATGTAAGTTCAATTTTTTGTACTCAGTTTTCTGAAGTTACTTGTATTGACCTCAACTCTGCTGCATTTTTGTATTTCAGTTGCGTGCACTGAAACGTATACGTATAGGTGGTTTCAGGCTTCCATCAGATCTTGCGTAAGTTTGCAGTATTTCTTTCTGAACTTTTTTGGTGAAGCAGTACTATGATTAGGAAGGTCATGTTATAATGTATACTACATCTTCAACCTGTATGAAAGCTGATTTGTGCAGTTCTAGTCAGATATCACACAGTTAAAGCTCTCAAATTGTCAAATATTCCACGCGTAAAACACGGAGACAGGGTGTAGGTGTGCTCCCCGAAGGATAGGATTCACTTGTCCCTTAAGTTATTAACTTATTCAATATCTTTCATTAGTAAGTATGGGGAAGTCTGACATAGGTAAAAAGTTAATTAGATCTCAATATGTGACTGGGGTCCGACTGAATATTTTGTGTGTTTGGGCTCATCCGGAGCTGAGGTTGGTTGCTACGGTTTGAAGCCTGAAATTACCATTTCCTATATGCTTTTCCTTTGAGCTGTTGTTTTCTCTTTATCTATATCTTATATTCACGGAGGCAGTGTCTCAGATGCTTGCAGCAAAGCAGTAAGCTAAAGCGAGACAGGGGGTTGTGCTCTCTAAAAGCTGATTGTCTTTTTGTTCTCTGCTGCAAAGAACGCTTTTGCTTCTTGTAATCAGCGTCAATAGAAAACCATTTCATTTCCTCTTTTATGTAGATATTGCTGTTAAGCTATTTAGACATTCTTTGCACTATTATAGGCACTCCTCCCTACCCCCAACCCCCCCCCCCCCAACCCCCCCTACCCCCCCCTAAAAAAAAAAAAAACTTTTTTTTTTCATTTTTTTCACTTTGCGATCGTTATTTTCTATGTTCTGTGTTAACTGGCATCTTGCACCTTGCCTGTATTAACAGTATTTCCATTTTTCTATCCATGGCAACCTTCTAACTGCAGAAAATAAAACTGGAGAAAAAGAAATAGATTAAGAAGACAGAGGTCCACTACTTCGTTTGTGCACAAATAGGATTTAAAAATATTTCAAGTATGTTTCTTGAGTTTGCATGAAGGCACCTAGGTTTTAAGCTTACACTTTTCTATAGAAATGTATTAAAATGATTGTACTTGGCCATCTCGCTATGTAACCATTTGAAAGGGAAGATTAATCATTTCACTAAAAATGGGAAGAAAGTGCAGAAAAAGGAATTAATTCAGGTATAATCAAATGAAAGAAAATTGCATTTGCACTTCTTTTGTTGACAAGTATATATGCGACGCATAAATATGACGAGGCTTTCTAATGTTCAGAGGCTTTTGTGCATTATTCAATTTACTTGTAGGGAAGTACTTCAGATGCGTTTTCTAGTCTTGATATGTGATGTTGCTTTTTTTGAATCTAATATTTGTGATTTTAGAAGCTTGTGAAATTGGAGTGCGTTTTGAATGTTTTATTCAGAAGTAATGCTATAAATATGTAAATTTTCAAATTTGTTGCCATTGATCGACGAGACCTCCAATATTTTGAACATGTGCCTTCCTGTCTCCTATATTTATGCTATTAAGACTAAAAAGCTACCAATTTCTGCATTTTTGACATGGACCTGGTTGTTACAATGGCTACATGTATTACATATATAGGTTTAGTGATTGGAAATTTGTGCCACACACTTGTTTATATTGGTTTTCTGCTCCCCTTGGGCGCATTTTTGCAGCCCCTTTCTTGAAATAACAACCAAGTTGCTAATTCTCAACTTTGCAGGCTTGGCAAGCATGTTGAATTAAATCAAGCTAATCTGAGGGCATTGGGTTGGAAGAGTCAAAAGTTAGATGAGGTCAAAACCTAGTCTCGTAACTACATGCACCAAATGGGCATAACTATCAAGGATTATGTAGAAGAATAGTCGAGGTGCGCACAAGCTGACCCGGATAAAAGAAAAAGAATTTGGTTGTGACTGGTTAGTCGCATTCACTTCTGCATGTCCTAAACCTTCCAAATCTTGAGGATCTAATGGTGTTTTAGTCCTTGCAAGATGAATTCCCATATGTCAGCTATCATCAGTAAGTATTCCTGAAATTGGAAGCTTAGTACCTCCATTAGATACATCTCTCAGACTATATGCCAATGAGCAAGCAACAGGGCTGTAAAATTGTACATAGCACAGTTATGTGGTTGATGAATGTACAATGTTTTCTACAGAGAACTTGTACTTTTTATTTTTAAAATTCATTTTATACTCCCTCCTTTTCAATTTATGTGAATATATTTGACCAGGGCATGGAGTTTAAGAAAAAGTGAAGACTTTTGAACTTGTGTAAAATAAGACACATATATTTTGTGCGGTTATAAATCATTGCATAAAGGTAAATTGTTTCCAAATATGGAAATTGGTCATTCTTTTTGGCACAGACTAAAAAGGAAATAGGTTCACATAAATTAAAACGGATGGAGCACAATATGGACCGAGTTGAGTACTTAAGCATAAACGAAGAGGCATGACCAGTGGAAACTCACAGCTAATCCCAACTTGCTCGGGTTTGAGGCCTAGTTGTTATATGAATGTACGCTGATGCAGGTGATAGTTATTGCCAGCAATTTATGCTTCTTGTTCTGTAGTTCAATTCTGATTTGGTTTATTTGCTACACAGATAATTCCAGTTAGATTGCTCATGTTGCAAAAAATTTGCTGTTGACTAGAACATGGAAGATGGAATTTCTATACTAAGAAACCACGTGATCTTCTGATGGGCATTCTTTAATATTGCCGACAAATGTAGAACATAAAGACCCTGTACTTTATTAATTATATAAAATTAAATTTAAAAACAATAAAGCATAAATAGAACCATCTTGGATCTGACTCGATATTCTGTTGTCTTTCTTGTGTCCGTTTGCACGACCGCCGGTTAAGGCAAAAGATCAAATAGCGAGAGAATTTAAGTTTTATGGGTTCAATCTATAAAGTTTTTAGCATTGAATTTATTATATTTTTAAAGTTATGGGTAGGAGTGGCAAACGGGTATGTCAGATATGATTCGGGTCGGAAACGGGTGATAAAAAAGCGGATAAATTATCCAATCCGGCCCATATTCAATACGGATAAAAAACAGGTTAGTCTCCCTAACTTGAGGAACCCCAATTTGAGGCTTTACAAATTTAAAAGTTAGACCAATTGGTTATTTATTGGTTCTCCATTTTCTAAATAGATAATATGGTTCTTATCAATATTTGACTTGTTTTTAAAAAGTTCATTATCCAACCCATTTTTTAGTGGGTAATATGGGTGGTTAATTATATTTTTAAACTATTTTGCCACCACTAGTTATGGGTTTATATTGCTTTATATTGCAATATTAATGAATTTTTACACATAAATTATGCTTTGGGTTCAGTTGAAAACCTGGTACCGATACCTTACATCCGCTTTTGAATTAGTGAATCACCCTCCAATAACAAGTGTGGACAATCTTAAAAATTTATTCACACTCGATGTATCAGGATAATAATACATATTAAACAAATCAAACTAGATTAACTAGCACACAATCGCATCAAAATTTGTTTTTATTATAATGAGATTTTTCTTCAACAACTCCATCCCACCCACAAAACTTCTCCCAATGTAAATGGCAACAATAGATTTTTTTGATTTGTTTGGAATTGACATACTTGAATATGACAAAAAGAGAAAAGAAAGAAAAGGAGGAGAATAATGAATATTTCAGAAATTATAAAGGACGTGGTCAATGTCATATATAGTAAGAGGGGTTAAGATAGTGACACACTGATATATTTGTAGAACTAGGACAAGCTGTCTTAGGCCGGCAACCCATGTTAAAGTTCACATGTTCTCTCCCATTAATTATTTAGGTGTTTAAAAGTCCAAAATATTGGTGAATTATGTAGCTCTTTTAATTAGTTTAAAAGATTACTTCTACTATTACTAAAGTTTGAATAAATTTCTAGTTTCATGCTTAAATCTAAAGTGATTCTCTTTTTTGTTATTATTCTCCACAATAAGTGACCAATTTGCTTTGGGCACACCCATTAAGGAAATACTAAATTTTAGACGAAAATAGTTAGTGTAACTAAACTACCCTTCATTAAATATTTCACCATAGTTATAGTAGCACTTACTTCTCTTCTCAAATGTGAGGAGTAAATGACTTTTTAGAGATACGTACATAAGGCTAATTTTGAAAAAACAAATAGGATTTTTTCTTGATTATATAAATGGACATTCATTTTGAACCAAAATAAAAAAGCAAATTTGTCACTTGTTATGGAACGGAGGGTAATTGTTGGGTGTGCGAACAAAGTCCCACATTGGTAGCTGAAAAGATTGGGAATCTACCTATAAGGTGTAGGAATTTCTTAATGGTGTGAGGCCTTTTGGGGAAAACCGTGCGGGCTTGGCACAAAGCGGACAATATCACACCATGTTAAGAGTGTCTTTGGGCTAGTTTAGCCCAACAATTGGTATCAGAGTCTAGGTTCAGCGGGACGAGTATGGAGATGGCGGAGTGATGGTGCGGGGCCGCACGCGCACAAGCAGAAGCTAGTTGCGGGCTTCGGGTGCCATAATACTCTAATAATGTGGGTGACACACAGTAATCTCGAAAACTGACCCGTGGATCGTGGTAGTAGGCCACGTGCAACTTAGTTCGAGGGGGAGATTGTTGGGTGTGCGAACAAAGTCCCACATTGGTAGCTGAAAAGATTGGGAGTCTACATATAAGGTGTAGGAATTTCTTAATGGTGTGAGGCCTTTTGGGAAAAACCGTACGTTCTTGACCCAGAGCGCACAATATCACACAATGTTAAGAGTGTCTTTTGGCTAGTTTAGCCCAACAGTAATTAATACATGGTAGTTAAAAAGTGGCCATGCAAAGTTGGTAATAATTGTTCACTTTCAAAAGGCTGTTTAAGTTCACATCAATCTATAGTCAATCTTTGGAAAAAGATAGTAGTAGTGATTTCACCATTAAAGGTTTTCTTTTTGATTTTCCAAGTTCCAACCATAAAGATAAAAAGGGATTCTTCTTTTTCCACTAGTAGGTATTCTTTCTTTTTTTTTTTTTTGGGGTGGGGGTGTGGGGTGGGGAATCTATTTGCACTTATATGTTATCTTTCAGGGTCAAATTGGGCATTAAGTGAGGTCATGTATTACACGGTGGACCTACATTACAGAAAGATGGGTTATTGGCATCCGAAAAAATTGGACAAAAATTTCATGTATACATTTATATGTCTTTAGAAATTAGTAATATATTACTAATGGTACTCTATATACCAAAAAAATAATATATTTGGTTGAATGCAAAATTGTACCCGAAAGCATTCATGAGTCACTAGTTCAACTATCACTCAAAAGATAGGATCGAGAAGTATCATGCATAGTTGCTCCCGTCATTTCTGTCTATCCCACTACCTTCAAATTTTGGGTTTGCCTCGTATTACAACCTGATTCCTTTTGAGACATAAAAGGAACTCCACTCACTTGAAATGTTGAGAAAAAAACATCAAAATTTAAACTAAAGAATTAAGGTACCGTGTACACTAGTCACTTTTTAACTTTTTCTTTTTTGCAGATTCATCTAAAATATTTTTCACTTTATTCTCTTCTAAAGTTGGTAAAGTATGTTTTGATGTTATAAATATCTACAAGTAATATATTTCTATGGGTTCCAGAAAAACACTATATATTACTCTTGATTATCGTATATATAGGTATTTTTAGGATTTTGAATATTATGAGATCAATTCGAATTTAAATTTTTATCACAACTCATTTCATTTATTGCATTTGAAATATATAATTTATACTTATTTGGTAGTAATTTTTTTTCATATGTTATGAGCCAAATTATTAAGCACGGATGAATTTATAACTAGTGTACTACATCTGCATCTGATTGTGAATAATTTCTTTTGTCATGTCTCCACCTAATTGTCTATTTAAGTATAATTCTAAATTATCATTATAGTGTACCTAGCATTCAATGAATGAAAATCATGAAAGGCAAATTTTAATTTCTAGTAAAAGACAAAATATTAGAATTTCTTCCTATCTGATAGTCAAAGTATATGGATAGCTAAATACCTTCTTTTTTTTCAAATTTCAAAATATTGATATCAACTTTAAAGATTTTCACCTAACTAAATATTAGATTATACATTATATCAAAATAGAAAAAATCTTTTGGCAAGATTAATTCCACTTAATTAATTAAGGTACCCACAAAACCATATGAAAAAGGCAAAGAGATAGGCCACCAAAGGATGTGGTGCAGTGCCTGAGACTGCTCTTCTCTTAACCAGAGGTCTCGGGTTCAAGCCCTGGGTATGAACAAATCCTTAGTAGGGAGCGCTTCTCCCGAATGGGCTGCTACGCAGTATGAATCCGGATATAGTCAGGCTCCAATGCGGTTACCGAACACTGTAGGGAAACCCAAAAAAAAAAAAAGAGAGAGAGAGAGAGTAAAACAACGCGGGAATTCAAGAAAAGGAAAAAAACAAAAACAAAAGACTCAATTTTTTTTTTCATCTAAAGCTTTCAAATCCGACTTTTCAATCAAAAATTGTACGTGCCGTCCTCTTCTAATAAAATTCTCTATAATTCTCCCTATCGTGAATCCCTCTCTCTATATTCTATATTTCTCTTCAGCTTCTTCTTCTTATGAACTATTTCTCCTTACTCTGAATTCCTTTTCTCCATTTTTTGGTTTCTGGGTTTTGTTTTTTCTTTGAAAAAAATGGCGAGTTCTAATGTTACAGGTAGACCATCATCTTCACATAAGTCTGAAAGATTACCTCCGCATAATTCTTCTGGAAGAAATAATGGGGCTGTTAATGGTAATGTTAATAATGCCACTGGACAGCAACAACAGCATCAGCAGCAGCAGCAGCAGCGTTCGAAAATAAATTCAAGACGTTCTGTTACACCCACTTCACGAATTCGAGCTCCTCCTCAAGACAATGACCCAGGTACCTTTTTTGTTAGAAAAAAGTTTAATGGGTACATTGTGTTAGTGAATTTTGAATTTTCTTGTTATAATTGGTTTTTGTTGTTTCTTATGGAAAAAATGAACATTCTTGTATTTGGGTACTTACTGTAACAAACTGAGATTCTTGTTGATCATATACAAGTTTACATGAGATATATATAGATGACACATTGGTATGTAAAGACTATTCTATCCTTACAAGAGATTGGTACAAATTAATAT